CCCCCCTAGATAGCGCTGTCCCCCTGGAAGGCTTGGTAGCCAGATCAGCTCCTTGTTTCTTCTACTGGCTTTTCCAGGCCTAAAGGAGAAGCCCAAGGTTTCTCTACAGCTCTACAGACCAGAGCTTGCAACCCGCTCGGCTTAAAATAGGGAAGCCCCAACCAGCCCTGGGCCGAGGCAGGGGGAAAGGCAGCTCAGCCACATGGCCTGAAGTTCCCACACTGTCTGATATTCTTTCTGCACCAATCGGTCACTTCAGGGACCCAACCAACTCTGTTATAAGGGTCTGCACCACCTGCAGGGCTCTTGGCTGCAGGACGATCCTGTAAATGTGCTTGCGCAGAGGTGGGCTCCTGCTCCCAGAGCAGGGAGGTGTGATGGCGATAGGCTGTGGTGACCAAGGTCTGTGGAGCAAGCTGGTCTGCAACGAGACCAAGCAGCTCCTCTTGCATGTTGGCCGTTGAACAGCTCTCCCATGTTGTCATGGGTCACGGCTCACCTGGGAGGGGGTTGGCACCCAGTGCAGAGACCCCTCCACATGTCACCCCCATCTCCCTGCCAGAGGTGTGGGACTAGCTGCTAATCTCCCAACCACTGGAGAGAGGAGAGCAAGACTTGGGGAAACCCGATATCACAAAACCAAGCCTTCAGCCTGAAAGACAAAGCCAAGTCTACCACAGCTCATCACTGAACCTTTCGCTGCCCCAAAAGCATCCAGTGGAAGCAGCACTCTGGCCCCAACCCCGAGGCTGCAGACCAGGTGGGCGCTGTTCGAGAGGAAGGTGGGAGGTAGGAGGAGGAACTGCTCCCTCTGGCTGCACTGAAAGTGTGCGAGTGCCAAAGCAGTGCCTGGGGCTGCCAAGCATAACAGGTAGCCTGAGCACTGTACCTAGACTCCTGCCAGCCCTAGGCGAACTTTTAGTATTGGGCCCCCCTTTGCCAGAGATAAAGAAGATAATAATAATTAAAAAATTACCATTTTTGGATCCCTTTTCTGTCCCGGCCCCAGGCAGCCACCCAGTTTACCCATGCCTGCGTCCTGCCCTGGGTAGCCTGGTCAGCAGGCCGAGGGCCGAGAAGGGGATTGAGACCACAGCAGCAGAAACTGGGACAATGGCTTAGCCTCACAAAAAGAAAGTGGTTTGATGGGGACACCCTACCAGCCACTCCCTGGAGACCTCAGTCCATCCTATCTCAACAATCATATCTTGGAGCCAGATCGCAGGCTATGACCGTACATGTGGATGCTGAGGCTGAAACTGGGCCCCCACCACCCTTCCCCACTGGTATTGGGATGTTACCCCATCAACAGGCCGCCTTGTCCCCACAGGTCCGGCATGGAGAAAAGGCAGCCTGCTCCATGCTGCTGCCACAGGACTGGCTACAGGCACCATCCTGAAGCTCCTTGAATACTAGAAGGGCTGTTTCCAGACAACACAAAGGCTGAACTCACCTTTACCTTCTCCCACCAAGTCAAACACTAGACTTTCTCCCCAGACCCTTGCTTTCTAAGGCAAAAAGACCCATGGGAGCTGGGACAGAGAGGAATTGAATTCAACAGCAAGGCAGAGACAGAGCAGCAGGCAGCACCTTGGGCTGGAAAGCCTCATTGAGAAGGAATCAAGAATCCAGGTTGTGTCTGGGATGGAGCAGCATGTTCTACCCTGGATACATAGACCGGGTAATGGTTAAAACGGCCTTGGAGCATGTGCAACTTCAAGCCTGTTTTGCCTTCTGACAGCACTCAATGCACTAACCAGGGGAGAACAAGGATCATCGTAGCTCCACAGGTGGGGAGTTAGGGCTAAGCTTGGTTTGTATTAAATAGAAACACCCCTCAACACACACACGCATTGTGCTCATGGCTCCAGGTCCCAGCTCTGGTAGACCTGATCCCCTCACAGGGTGCTGGAAGCTCTTGGGCCTGGCTCCCGGCAAGTCTCTCTTCCACCGCACCCTGGCACACCCGTGGGGTCTTTTCCACCACGACCAACCTATTCCAACATAGAGACACGGCAAATACGACAGGTTCCTTTTTTTTTTTCTTTCTTTTTTACACAAATATATACAAGGTATTATACACATCTCTACACAGACACAGTGCCAGTTAAAACACAGCTCTCTGCAAGGAGTGCCCAAGGTCTGTGCCCAACAGCCACTGCCGCCCGCATGGGCAGCCCTGTGCTACAGCCATATGTACAGGGTGACTGATGCCATCCCATCACCCTGTGGGGGAAAAAGAGATGTAGGGCAGGTGAGCATGGCAATAAGGAGCCATGGACCAGAATGCCTGCTCCAGTCTAGATCCAGACCAGGAAACCCTGAGTAAGGGAGCTGGTCTCATTTCTAGTCTGTCCTGGGGAGAAAAACAATCAAGGAAAACAAACCCCCCATTTGTTTTGGCAGTGAACTCTAGAAGAGCGGAGAAGGCAGCAGTAGTAGTGGTAGCCCCTGGACCTTGGCTAAAACCAGTGGGAGAACATGCTCCAGCAATACTGTGGCAGCTTGGTTTAGAGTGAGCCAGGGTTTGACCTCTTTGCTCCCATGCCTTCCCCCAAGCAGGGGGCAAATCCTGCTGCTCTCCATGCCCACCTCCTCTGGGGCTGGCATGCCAGTCAGATGGGAAGATTGAAGCAAGGACCTCTAGCCTCTATTGTGGACTGTGGGACTTTGGGCAAGTTCCTTGCCTGCTTTCTGCCATTTTCCCCTCTGTAAGAGTGGGCAGGGGAGGATCCTGACCGCCCTCTCCACACTGGGGAGCTGGGGAAGGCTGCAGTGTCCGGTACAACAACACGGTGCAAGTGCAGCTCTCTGCAGAAATACCCAATAGACCATTCAGTGTTAGCTGGCGTATCTGTACGCGGTACCGCAGTGTGCCTGGCAGCCGCACCCTTTGCTCACGAGTGCCTGTAAAGTGCGTCCAGCTCCTGGGTAGTCAAGGACCAGAGCAGATTGCAATTCCTGCCTCGAGGACCCAACCCTTTGGTTCAGCTGCAGTCCACTGGAGCAGCGCCCTCCAGAGACAGGCAATTGGCAGCAAATGAGCAACGAATGGGCTAGGCAGAGGGAAGGAAAAATAAATACAGCTCCATAGTAAGGAGATCTACTTTTTTTTGTCCATCTTTACATTTTACCCATTGGGCAGAGAAGGGTGAAAACCCCAGCTAACAACCCCACTCCCCCTGCTCCCAGCATAGCCTATGACCAGGGCCAAGTCTTGGAGGGACTGAAAGGGAATCCAGCAATTGTCCTACATACACTCTCTGATCCTTCTGCCTCCAAATCTTACCTTTCAGTTGCTTCCCCCACACACCTTCACCTCATCTCCTGAGAACCCCCTCCCAACCCTTCTCTCAGGACTGGTGATCATTCAGCCCTCTCTCTATAGGGGTGGAAATGGCTCCCTCTCCAGCCTGTAAGGTGCTGGTGCCCTGGCAATGCTGGGGGAGAAGGAGGTTCCCGTGACTCCCCCTGCTCTGCACTTCCCACACTGCCAGATGCGCAGAGGCTTGGGCAGCCTCCTCCTGGCACATGTGCTGTGCTGCATAAAGGGCTGGGACAAAGTTTTGGAATATGGCCAGGAGCCAGTGCAGTCTTATGGGGCCTTAGTGCTGGGAATCCTGTAGCAGCATGGCCAATGGTCAGGTTCCCCGGAAAAGGGCACAAACCCCCTGGGGCTGCAGACACTCCCACTCCTAGCACAATAGCCATGGGCAACAAGAGCTGCCATATGTAGCCAGGGACCAGACGCTCAGGGCGCCACTGTATAATGCCCAGCAGAACTAGGGCCAGCCCCAGTGCTTAGTGGTTCTTGGGGCTCAATGGTCCACTCCTCCCCTCCCGGGCCACCACAGCAGCCAGGGATACCGAACCCCAGTTGACCCTCCCCGCTCCAGGCCTGGCTGTGCACAAACAGGATGCCCAGGGGGCAGTGGCTGCAGACGGGTGACAGGAATTTTTATTTTAAAGGGTGAGAGGGTGGGGGGGGAAATAATAATGTGCAAAAAAAATGCCACTTAAAACAACGCCACATGCGCCAGTGTGAGCCCCCGTCACGGCCCTGCCGGGGGAGGGCTGCCTACAACTCTTCAGCTCCAGGCTGGCTGGCATGGGCGCCCATACCAGCCCCCAGTGCTCCCTCGCCCCGCGAGGGGCTCTTCCCTGCTTCCCTCACCACTCAGACCTGCTCTCCAGCCACCGCTGAGCCCATGTGGCTTTCATTGGGTGACATCCGCTCCTCCTCCCCACCGCAACTGTAATGGTCACACCACCTCAGGGCTGACTGTGCAGGGAGGACCAGTTGTACCATGTGCTCTGTTACCTGCTGGGGCCTGGCCCCAAGTTATTCTGGAGGGTTCCTTGTGGGCCCGCACAGCCGTCCCTGGGCCGGGGAGGCGAAACATACATGTGAGACACAGATACAGGGGCAGAGGGCAGCTCCCCACAAGGATACTGCATCTGTTGCGGCCAGGACACTGTGCCGCCTGCTAGGCTCACAGCTGCCTGCCACCCACTAGAGTTTAAATATCATGATTAAAGCTTTTTTTTGTGTCTTGATATCTAATAAATTATTAGTGTTTGTGATTCTGGACAGAGGACAGAGGGAAGGGTCCCTTCCCTGAGTCCCCACAGGAGACTGGAGATGCCCTCCCCCTGCCCCACCCCCAACACTTGCCCCCACCAAGCATCCAGGCTTTTGCTGCCCCTGTGTCTTCTTGCCCCAAGGGACAGAAGACAGCGGGGGTCAGAGTCCTCTTCCTTCCCCACCCTATTCCCGGGGTCTCATGGTCTTGATAAGTGTTAAAGATGGTAACTAGTAAGAGCAGGTCCCCTCTCATCCAGCAGCGAACAAGAGGGACTGGGATAGGGTGGGGGAGGCAGGGCATGGAATGGAGAGTCTGAAGTATGGGTCGCTTCCCCCTCTGAGCGAGCATTCGTGCAGTGGCCCAGGTGGGCAGGTAGAGGGGGAAGAGGCTGGCATCCTCCTTGCGATGCTCCTCACTCCATTCAGTTCACTATCTCCCTCTCTGTGCGCAGCAGCTTCCTCGGCTCCTGGTCCTTTCCTGCCCCTCCCACCCTCCGCGGTCCTATTGGTGGATCTCATTCTCTATCAGGCTGTCCTCGCACGACTGGAAATCCGTGTCGTTCATGCCGTCAGGGTTGATGAGTTCCTCATCCTGGGACCCCTGTTCCTCGCACTCCGCCACGTCGCTCTTGGGCGAGGGGTCCTGCAGCACCTGGGCAATGTACTTCTGCTGCAGAGGGAAGGGAGAGAAAGGGAGTGGAGAGGAGAATGCACATGGCCCAGTTAGCTTTGCATACTGCTGTAGGAAACTCACAGCAGCAAAGCATGATCAGTAGGCACCATGCAGGCATGCAATGGGCCGCTGAGGCTGGAGAGAAACTCAGACTGCACGGAACATGTGAGATGGGAGGAAGGAGGGGGAGATGAGTGGCTAGACAGTGGCTGAGCAGGCAGAGGGGGGAGGTTTCCAGCCTGGTTCAAGTTCATAGCAGAACCTAGAAATATCAGGGATCAGTAGAGCCTTCCTGAGGACCCAGGGGCGGGGGAGCTTGGAACTTGCCAAACTCCGGGGCTCTGCAGGACTGAAAGATGAGATTTGTTTCAGAGGGTAGGTGCCCCCAGTACTTCTTGAAATCTGAGCTCTTCTAAGGTGGCTCAGACAGGGTGCCCAAATCCCCCTACTCCCCTTGTACTCCAGGGCAAGCCAGGGGTCCAAGAACAGAGCTGCAGCTGCAGGAAAAGCATCCAGCCCTTTTCTAGTTCCCCCACTATTTACCCATGGAATAAAATCTGGATGCGGCAGACATGGAGCCAAACTCAAAATCCACTCCTGGCCCCACATCTCCCTATGTGTCACTCAGATTAGAGACTGCCCCTCTTCTCCCCAGCACAGAAGTCCTCAGTTGTGGGGAGTGCCCACTGGGCACAGGAGTGGAGCAGCTGGCTTCTTTACTATCCACTTGGTACAGCAAGTGGGAGAGAGGGAGATGTGCTGGAGTGTGCTGCTGCTCAGCTGTGCCTGGTTGGGAGATGGTCTCCTGGAATCCATGGCCAACAAGCTTCAGTCAGAGCAGCCCCCAGGAGGCTCTAACATATAAGGAGGATGAGGCAGTCAGGGGATTACAAACTAGCATCCCCTCTCCACAGATGACACCCATAGCAGACAATCTGATCCTAAAGGAAGCCAGCTGTAGCATGGCTAGCGAGCTCAGGAGAGACTTAAAGACAAGAAGGCAGATGTAGGGGGTTCAGTTCCAAGAGAGCTTTGGGGGGGGGGGGGGGGGGGGGGGGGGGATGGGACGGGACACAGGGGCAAGAAAGGGGAGAGCCTCAAAGCTGCAGATGAACAGAAGTGTCCCCCCCGTGGCTTCCACAGGGGACTTCCATGGAATCCATCTGTGTTGGCATGTGACACTGCCAGCCCCAAATGTGCTGATGGGTGAGAGCCAGGAAGCAAAACAGAAAGGAAAAACTGACCAGGTCCAGTTTCATTGTCCCAGCTGAGAGAGAGGCAGGAAGTGAACAGACAGCATCAGGGGGGCAGAGGGGAGGGGGCGTTTGCCATTCATCGCCTCGCCTGGGGCAAAGCACGTGGGGAAGGTCATTCTCCTCTGAGCCTGGCTTGCATCTCTTGCACGTTGCCTGGGAAAGGCCAGGCAGGGGGCACTTGGGCAGGGGTAGAGGACGTGTGCAGGCCCCTTCCCCCTCCCCAGACCCGGCCAAGGAGGAAGGTTGAGTGCTTGAAGACTCACAGCAGATTTGGGAGCTGGTGGGTTGGCGGCTGGTCGCCCGTTCTCTCCCCCATCCATGGTGTCTGCCTCCGTGTGGTCAATCTGGGGAGTCAAGATAGTGACATGGAGACCGGGCTGTCCCACTAGCCCTGCTGCCTGCTGGCCATAGGGTCTGGTTCCTGCAATTGGGTTTGTCCTGGGACATTTACCTGAGTAGGGAACTGGGACAGAGGAGCACTGCTTGGCAACAGGGACTGAGAGCCCAGCTCTTGCAAGTCCTTTCTCTAGGGTTGTGCAGCCAGAGGCTCTGCAGAGGGAAGAGGCCCCTGCTCTGTCTGAGATGTCATTGCAGGCTCAGGTCCTCATTTACTCTTACCCCCACCATGACAACAATGACAGTGACTGAGGGATTAGGGGGGAACCCTATTCCAGCTGCACCCACCTACACATGGGAGAGTGGAGCAGGAGAAGAAAAACAAGAAAGGCTGTAGCTGAAGGTAAGGGCCCAGGAAGGAGCTCCCCAACATGTAGCTTGACATAACCCTTCATTACCCACTCCATCCTCATCCCAAGCCACTCCTTCCTCCTTCCATGCTGTCTGCTCCCTCTGCCCAGCTTCTCAGCACCTTACCTTGTAGTTGTGAGCGCTGAGGTATTTGAAATGCCCGAAGCAGACATGACACAGGCAGATCACGATGGTGATCACGAGAACCACAAAGGTGAACATGGACGTGGGGGCCAGGAACCCTGAGGGAAGCAGAGGATCACACAGTCAGGGCTTCACACAGCCAGCATGCAGCCCAGCAGGCCCCCTCCAGCCTCTAGGGGAGGCCGTGGCTCTGAGCTCAGCTCACTGCATGTCTGCATGTGCTGGGTGTCGATGAGTCCCTGAACTCACTGGCTCAGTCAGGCTGAGGATGGGACAATAGTGATTCAGTAGTTCATTCCCATGCTGGGCCCTGCCCCAAACCCTGTGCCTACCTGTGCGCATGGTGGAGAAGAAGAGGAGCCAGAAGAGACAGAGGATGGGTGCAGCCACCACCTGGTTCACAGCCCCTGAGTGGATCTTCTTGTCCAGCTTGGCTGGCAGGTAAGCATAGTACAGGTTGTACCTGTCAACCAGGTGCTTGAGAAGCATGTACATCAGCCCTGATGGAGAAAGACAGAGGGGGAGGAGAGTGTCAAAGAAGGGACAGGCAGGCTCCAGGCTTGGCAATAGTAGTGGGGGTGATGAGAGATTAGGGCACTTGCTCAGAGGGGTGGAAGGTAACACCCAAGACAGGATCTTTTTCAACCAGTTGGCTATGGGACCACTGTGCAGCCAAGACACTGCTTTCCATCCTTATATGGCAGATGCTTGTGATGGGGCCTGTAACATGACCCACCAAGGCAGCCCAGGGACTCCAGTATCAGCTGAACGGGATGACAAGGCAGGTGACACACTGCATGTATACATGCTGACTAACCATTGAGCAGGGATGGCTCCCAGGGTAACAAAGGGAAAGCACTGCCTGTTGGTAAAAGCCTCTTGAGCCAAGAGACTGAGGAGAAGCTAGCTTTTATCATCCTTTGTCAGAGCAGAAGTCCCTTTCTGCTTCAGCCAGGAGAAAGCCCAGCTTGTGGCCAGCCTGGCTGACGGTCTCACTGTGGCCACTGGTGGGGAGCGCCTCCTGGTGGGGAGCTCAGGGATCAGATCTCTTCCTCAGCTTGTGCAATACAGGAGACAGCACCAGTGCTTGGGTAGAGCCTCTTGCTAGTAACTTGCCTGTCCATCAGTTGCACTCACTGTGAGCTTTCCTGCTGTCTTGCATGCCCACAATGCAGCATCAGGATCAAGTGAAACTGACCCTTGATAGTAACTTCAGGCTAAATGTCTCCCATCTCCCTTACTTCCTTTACAGATGGGGCTGCCCTGCTTTGAACAATGGGAAAAGCCTCCTCCCCTGCCTCTGGGCTGGCAGCCCTCCTCCAAAGGGTCTGGGCACCACACAGTGTCACTTACCAAAGGGGACGATGATGGGGCAGGTGATGCTGTAGGTCATGACCACAGTGAAGACACACATCATCCAGGCGTAGGCAGCACCAAATTGGAACTCGTAGGCCTGGTGCTGTGAGAGAAAGCAGAAGCCGTCAGTCATAGCGTGCTGCACTGAGCCATGTCCAGGAGGCAGGGTCATGCATGTATGTGTGTACACTAACATGTGCGTGCTGACCAGCACCCTAAGGAAGGGGAGTGTGCACGTTAGGGAACATGCGTTTACACTACCCTGAAGTTGCCTGTTCAAGTTCAGACAGATGGGCAAGTCTGTCAGCTGATGCCCTACAACACTGACTACACTCATCCTAGGAAAAGCTGTGGGCATCAGTTGCCTTCCCTGACACAGTGCATGGCAGCAGGCTGCCTCCCTAAGCACCAGCATGCACCTGGGTGAGCCTGTAGAATGAATGTGCTTCCTTGCATGTATTTAGATGTGAGGGTACAAGCCGGCATGCGTTGGTGCTGACAGGAATACATATGGGTCACTGAGCACCTGCCTGATGCAAGTGCAAGGTGCTCAGGGCAGATTCCTGAGCACCCAGGGTCTGAAGTGGGCATTCTTGTCCTGGGCTCCACCACATACCCGCTTGACGTTTCTCCGCTCAGCTGCTGAGCGGGCCAGGCACAGGCGGATCATGTACATGAGCAGACCGGGGATACGCAGCAGGTCCATGGCATTCCCGATGAAGGCAGAGGCGATGACATAGTTCACAAAGAAGGCCCCATTATCTGGCAGGAACACACACCTGTGGGGGGAAGGGAGCAGGGAGAGTGGGAACAGTGAGAGCTGATCATTTTGAACTTGAGCAAGGAGGGGCACCAGCACTGTAGGCTTGGCTGGAAGTTGGAGGAGAAGGGAAGGCTGGGCTGAGTCAGGCAGGACAGAGAGGAAACTGGCTGGGGCAGGCCCTGCTGTCCCACTGCAGAGAGGTTGCTCTGCCTCTGGTTGTTCTGCTTTGAAGGAAGCTGGTCTGGTGGTTTGCACCAGGGCAGAATTGATTTAAATCAAATAGATTTTAAATCGTGATTTAAATCACTTCCAGAAGGCCTCAATTTAATCACTATTTTCTACAAAAAGTGCATCCTTGTTGTTTGATATCCTCTATTCATTGAACTTCTTGAAACTTTGCACTTTTAGAGAGAGGTAAAGGTTTGACTGTGTACAGACTTGCAGAGAGACAACAGTGCTGATGGGTAGGGAATCAGGTCTCTTATCTCTGATAAATGCTGATAATAAGGATGTTATTTCTGGAGACACAAATCCAGTTTCAGAACTGAAACTAAGCATCACAGAGATGGTTAATGGGATCTTCTAGACTGAGCACTGAGACCCATTGGGTACACTGGTTTTATTTAAAGTTTACTAATCTACAGAGGAGCCTCTGGGAGCCCCATAAGATTGGGCCCCTAATATAGTCCATGGACTGTTGTGACCTATTTATAAAAGTTTTCTAAAAAGTGTACATGAATATATTGTCTCAAATAGTATATAATTAGACGTTATAATCCCTATTTCATGGTGATATCTTTGAGTTCTAACACATCTTAAATTAAAACTGTATTTATGTAGGTTTATTTTTTATAAAAAGCATCTTAAAAATCAAAACAATACAATGAAATAAAAAAATCTGATTTAAATAAAAAAAGTTGGGTTTTTGGATTTTTTTTTTAATCATTTATTTTTATCCACCTTGGTTTCCACACAGTCACAAACAAGCCAGCCTCACTCAGTTTCCTACCAGGAAGAAACCTGGATAGAAAGGGCCAGTCTGTCACTGCTAGAACAGGGTTGCCAATGGTCTGTAAATTTATGGACACCCTGTAAATCACAAGACTAAAAATGCCTCTTCATAAAATCTGTTAAAAAAAAAAAAATCTGCTGTGTAAAAAACAAAGCCAGTAGAGCTGATTGAAGCTCTGTGATGGTAAAGAAGCTGAAGGCAGTGCTGAAGCACAGACAGAGCACAGCAGCACCACTTCATATCTGCATAGGACAGCAGCACCCTGAAGGGAACACTTATAAAAGTTTTATGGCTCTTGGGACTCTCTCTCTTTCCTCAACCTCCAGACATGTGCTGCTGCTCATGCATCCTATTGGTCTGTAATACTGCTCGGTGGCAGGAAGGTAGACAGCTCTTCTTTGGGAGTCTGTGCTAGAATGGGGGCATGGGGTTGGCAGCATGGTGTAGTCAAGGGGTATCAGGATATGGGGAGTGAGTATCCTCCTGGGGAGGAGGCAGAAGGGTGTAAAACCACTGTTGCAGTCAAGTAAGGTTGTCAGACCAAGATTTTTTTTTTTAACTGATAATTTGTAAACTTTTTAATGACAGCCAAACTTCTTTTTACTATGGTTGGTGCTGAACCCTGAATTTGAGCCCAGTCATTGTCCAGGGGACTAGCAGGGGGGTTATGCTGATATTATGAAAATATATGTCAGTAAAGAAGTTTGGTCATCAGTAAAAAAAATTGTCTGCCATTGGCAACCCTGTTCTAGAAACACTGTAGGCTCTGGAAGGCCTTGTAGATACGTACAGCCCTTCTCCCAGCAGGAGGCACTATAGAGAATGAGGGAGAGGCACCTGTCAGGAAGCTCCCAGTTATTCTAGTCCCTGCCTCCCCCAGCAGGTGGTGCTGTAAGGAACAGGGCAGGGGCAATGCCTGGGGGCCAGCTCACAGCAAGGCACAATTACAAGGATGGGGGGCCCCCTTCAGGACATCACTTACTCAAACCGCACAGCAGCATCTGCCAGGAATTTTTTGTCAAACAGCCAGCGGAAAAACAGATCCAAACTAGGGAGAAAAATCACAAAACAGAGAGCGCAACATGAGCACATAACTGTTGGGAGAGACAGGAGCAGAGTGGCCACAGTTCCTCATGGGACTTGCTAGCATGAAGTCAAGACACAGGTCCCTGTCTGAGGAAGTGGGTTCGTGCATATTCCCTGGGGGTTCTGCTGCCTCCTTCCCTTTTCCAGCCAGCAGCCTGGTCATTATGGAAGAGGAGACTGTGTTGGAAAGAGGCCTCTAACTGTTTTGGGCTATCCATCTTGCTCCTTCACCCTCTGCAGGGAGCTGATAGCCCTATCTGCTGCTGTTCCCTCCTGACCCAAGTGGCCCTCTTTTTATTTTTTATTTTTTTTAAAGAAAACAGCAATAAAACAGGAATTGGTTTCCACTCAATCGATCTAATACACAATGTGATGAAAGCCCTGGCTATTATTGTGTATCAATGCCCCATTATGTGTGCAGGCAACTGAAGGTGAGGTGAGGATGCAGCAATGTCACTAGTTGGAGGATGTGCATCGAAGCTGGAAGAGCAGAACTAGGGGGTACAGTGGGTAATCCCATAGCTCTTTTAGGGGAGGAATATGTACAAATGCACACATGTACCCCCCCAAAAGAGAAAATAATACTGAGCTTGCCCTGAAAAAGAGCTGGGGGAATTTTTTGCTGCCTGTTGTGTCCCTTAATACAGCCCTGATTCTCCTGCTCTGAGACACGTCAGTAGCTTGCGTTTCCTGTGAATCTGAGAGCTGCTCAGTCCTAAACAAGGCTTTAAAGTTATTTCAGGTGCTGTCTATTTCCATGCACCCCCCAACCCACTCCAATCACATTTTCTTGTTTTTGAAACCTTTTTTCATCCTCTGCTGCAGGGTGAAAGGTTCATATAAAGGGCCTGGATACATAGCATGTCAACAGTGGTGTGACCTGCCTTTATTCTGGTGCAAATAAACAGGTAACACATGACAAACAGCTTTAGGCTAGTGGCACTTACTAGAATCTGGCATAGTTTATCTTAGGGGGAAAAACAGTGATAAAAATATAGTGGTGAACATGATGTGATATCTGCAAGGGTGTTTGCTCAATGGAAGCAATATTTTTCCCTCCTACTTTCCTAGTGGCAAGGTTGAGGACAGAGTTTGCCCCTTAACTTCACTTCTAACAATGTCAGGTAAAAATTTCTCAGAGAAGCACTATATATACACACACATACTTAACTGATAGGGCCATTTTAAAGAAAGGCCCTCTTTTAGATCACACAGAGACTCAGAAACAGAGTCAGGTATTTTTAGATCCTGCTGGAGAACATTTTTGTTGAACTGACACGTTTGGATAAAGGACATTTTTTGTGGCCATCAAAGGGCCTGCCTATGCTCAGGAGCAGCCTGACTCAGCTCTCAGCTTGGCATGTCCTTGTCTCCATTCAGAGGTCAGCAGAGATGCTGACTGTCAACTTGTGGTTCCTCCCCAAATAGAGATGGAGGCAAATGCAGTAAGAACAGCGTTGTGATTTTCCTTCCCTCTTCACAGCCCTTTGTAATTACACTTAGTCCCTCTTTGTGGCAGCATGGTCTGTTTTTGGACTTTCTGATATTGACGGCCTATGTTAAGGACAGGCAGCTGGCAGGAAACATTTAGCAGAGGCCTTACAAGAATTTCCAGGTGGTATTCACATGAGGCCCCAGGGCTTGGGTTCAGGTGAAAAAGCACCTTGGAAATGTTTTTTCCACAGCAACCTCTGATGAGGCCAATTAACACCCTGTCTATACCTGGCTACAAGGAATTCACCTATATGGGGCACAGTCCAAATTAAGAATGAATTTATTTATGAGGGGGTAATTAGGCAACATTTAAGCACTGTCTGAACAGAGCGTGAGTACCTACCTACCACAGTGCCAGAAACAGAGCTAACATAGCAAGCCACAAGACTCTCTGGCACCAGCTATCACTCCAAACTCAGGGGGAACAATTTCTGTAGGGAAGGCAAGAGTCTGGTAAGAGCCAGAAGGGCTGTGCCCCACAGTGATACAGGACGTGGGTTTGTATGAGGGCACTGTTTGCCCAGCATTCCAGAGGGCTCTGGGTTCCTGGACTTGCCCTTCTTTCCCTCCTCCCTTACCTGCTCAGGCCCAGGGAAGGCAGTAGCAAGACCATGAAGATGAGGAAGGTGTAGCACTTGTGCATGGTAGTCCTGTTCTCTCCAGACCTGAGAGCAGAGATAAGGCAGTTAGCAAGGACCTGGGAAGACAATCACATGCAACTTAGGTACTTATAATGCATCTTTCAGGCCCCTTCAGTATCTGTCTGTTGTACTACATGGCTTGCCCTATCCTGCCTGAATATTCTTTCCCCTTTCAATATATTTATTGTCACAACACCCCTGTGAGGCAGTCTACTACTATTCTTGCCATTATCATCACTCCTGCGTTACCAGACATGTGGGGCACAGACAGCCTAAGAGACTTGCCCAGGGTCAAATCAGCAGTCCATTGCAGAGCACAAAGCTGGACCCAGGTGAGGGGTGGGAAATAGCCATTGGCTTGTTGATTTTTTTTGGTTATACATGTGCCTCAGTTTATTTGTGATACCAAAGGAGGCTGTGCTGAGGGAGTCCTCAGGAAATGAAAGGATGGCAAAGAGAAGGTACAGAGTAGAGGCTGCCCTAGCTTCACTGGAGAAATAAAATAGGATACTCCTGCCCTGGCTCCAACTAGACTAGCAAAGTTTACTCTTCTCAGGCTAAACTCCTCATGCCCAGGGGACCAGTGTCAATGGTCTTTGAGGGGCCTTCCAGTCCTATGCTCCTGAACAAGGGAGATGCACCAGCTTCTAGGTTGCTCTAAAGCAGATGGAGGTGGGACATGGGCTATCAGCACCTACTGGGAGATGGAGAAAGAGATGTGGAAAGAGACACATGGAGGATGGAGAGAGTGCAGCAAGTGGTCTGTCTCTCCCATCCCAGAGGTGAATGAAACCTGCCAATGCTTACAAAGAAAGAAAAAGGGGAGAGAAGGAAAAAAAAAAAGTGCGGGATTCTTTAAAATTGTTCTCCTCCCTCCCCTGTTTTGCTCCAGGTGCTATGTGCCTTCTGGGCATGAATGAATAAATAAATCATGTTTTGTTTGGAATAAGCTGTTTCAGAGTCATGAACCAGCTGCTGGCACAGGCTCCCAGAGGCAAAAATCTCCAAGTGCCAAGCACAATTGGGCCTGGTGAGGTGACAAGGCTGCAAAAGGGAAGGGCTGACACCTAGGAGCTGCACCTGGGAGAGGTCAGACTGGAGGGTTCTGCCTGCAGAGAGAGGGGCAGGAAGGCAGGTCTGTCATCTGATAGGTACTCTAGAGGTGGGGGGCAGGTAAAGGAGGGAGGGGTTGGGAGCTGCTGGAGCTTGACCAGTTTACAGAACAGAGTACGTCACACGTCGCCTGCAACAGCAGGGGATTAGACTCGATGACTCAGTCAGTCCCTTCCAGCCCTGTGCTCTTAGAAGTCAACAAGAACATGGTAATAACAATGCTCAGCATGGCAGCGATACCCCAGGCCTAGGCTCCAGAAAGGAGCTTGCTAGGATAGCTACTGCAGCAAAGTTCTCCTAGTACCAATGCAGCTTGTGCTGACAAGAACCATCCTTCTGTCAGGGGGACCTCTCTCACTTGGGTGAGTGACATCAGCTGAGCTACTTTCCTGCTCTAGTGCTATAGAAACATCACCCAAATCTACACTTCTAACTCCCAGCACTATCCTGGCTATTCTCCTGAGCAGAGTTGGCCTAATTCACTCTTGCCCATCTCTGGTGGGGGGAGGGGAGAGAGGCCAGACTCACACTCCCCTTTTGGACATGTGGGGAAGCTGAGGCTCTAGAAAGGGATGAACCCTGCCCATGTCACACCATAAGCCAAGAGGCAGAGCTGAGACCATAGCTCTGGAGGTCCTGGCTCCTAGTCCTGTGCTCACATCATGAAGCCACACTTCTTGTGGGTCATCAGCAAATCTCAGCTCTGATGGGATGAGCTGTATGGCCTAAGGGGGATCAGCCAGGCAGCTGCCCAAGCTTATGGGAGAAGCAGGTGAGAAAAATAGAAAGGAGACCAGGGCGAGGCACAGCTAATTCCCAAGGGCAGAAATACAGAAGAGCAACCATCACGCAAGTATGCACACCATCCCAGTCAGCCAGAACCCCTTGGCCTTTCCAGCCCTCCTTGTAGCACAATTTCTTCATCCAGCTGCTGATGGGTAGCTACCTCTGAAGCTGGGGGCAGGGAATGTCCAGCAGTTGTTTACCAGTTGTGTGTCTTTCTGTGCTGCAGGTCAGGAGGGGAAGTGCAATTGCAGGGGGAATGCAGGTGGCAGGACATCACTTCTGGGGCTGGGACTCTGGCTCTTGTGTAAAATGCTGGGCACAGCCAGAATCCAAGCTTAGGAATGCCTACTGACTCTCCTTACCTGGTCCAATGGGCTTCGAAGAAGGCAGAGTAATACACGATAGTTGGCAGCAGAGCAGAGAAGCACCACAGCAGAAGGGTGGGGAAGAACTGGGTGATGATGGGGTTCTGCAAAGAGAAAGGACCAGGTGCTTGTTCTGGTTGATGTGGATTCCAGGGCTGGGTACAGCAAAGGCAAGCCTGCTGCAATTCCAGTGGCAGAGGTGTGCCCAGGCTGAGCTCAAGAATGCCCCAGAAGGGCCCCAATCCATCAGGACCTGTATTCACAAGAGCACTGCCCCCAGCTTTGGAAACTGGAATGGGAACGGATGAGGCTCTGCCTTATCCCCTGTGAGGAAATTGGGACCTGAATAGCAGAGGGTAGCAATGGGCACCAGCCCAGGTCCTGCCCCAGGGGATACCTCCCCTCAGCTGGGATCTCATGCTTTATCTGTCCTGACATGGCAAGTTAGGATTTCCTCTCTGTTGCTGTGCACAAAACCCCAGTGCCACAGACAGGTTGCAGAGTCCTGTCAGACCTGAGGCTGAGTGGGTAAGGTCTCATTTATCCATGTTCTGACCAGACAGAGATTTCCCTCTCTCTGGCTGAGGCAGGACCCATCCATCCTGCCCCCTTGCATCTGCCCAGCACATGCAGCCTGCTCCAGCAACACAGTCCCTGCTGTACATCCACAGCCTCTGCATTGCCTTGACAGGAGGAATGAGTGACTGGCTTCTCTTGGCTCTCATGTCAACCAGAACAATGCTCACAGTCCAGTGATGTACACAACTCCTACAGCCACAACTTAGGAGCCCTTGAAAAACCCAGGGACAGGTTGGCTTAGCACAGCCAGGAATAGCCCAGTTACACCAGCAATGGGAGCTGGGGGCTTTGGGTGCTTTCATGACCTCCAAAGGGCCATCCATTCTGTGGCACAAGATGGGGCACAGAGAAGGGAAGGTTTCCTAGCATCCATGCTCCAACCCAGGCTTACATTCAGGTACTCAACAGGCTTGGTGACATTGAATTTGTCCATCGTAGTGATGATGATGGCAGGCGTAGTGAGGAAGAAGAGGAGGATGAAGAGCACCACATTGATAACCAGGCAGCGAATCCACCAGATGAAACCCCGGATGGAAAGGTGCTCCCTACAGGCAGAAGAGGGTACCAAACCCAGTGAGGAGCGCATCGCTGGAAGGGCAGAGGACCCAGGGCCCCATGCCAGGGATGTAGTTCTGTGCTGGGCAGAGCCGTGAGGAAAGCTGAGCTGGGCTAGGGGAGTTCAACTCCTCTGGTGCTTGAATTCCTTTAGAAGCACCTAGATCAGATCTTTTACCCAGCAGAGGAAGCCAGCTCTCCCTGAATAGCTTCCTTTTCCTCCCCTCCCCTCCTAAGACCCACATATGCCAAGGGCAGGCCTCAGCCAGGTGCACTGCATATGTCTACCCTCTACAAGGATTGTTGGTTCTTCTCCTCCCACCAGGGCCCACTGCCCTGGTAGGGGTCAGGCAGTGGTGGCAGCCCGCTTACCAGTAAATGTTCTGTGGGTCGGGGGCATAGCTAACGGTCCAGTTGGAGACGTGGAGGGACTCACTGCAGGAGGAGGCCCGAGGCTCCCCACGGCACATGCAGCCCTGGCACTTGCACACGTTGAAGTCTTTAAGGATTCTAGGAGACAAAACAACAGAGGGATGGGGGGGGAAGAGGGGGGGGTCAGGAAATGCTAGGACCTGAGGTCAGAGAGGCTGAGCCCAGAGGCATCAGGAAGGCCAACCTCAGCATTGGACCTCTGCTGATTTACAGGGCCTGGCAGGAGCTTTCTTACATTGGCAGGTACCCAATTCCTCTGGGCCTGGCAGGAGCTTTCTTACATTGGCAGGGACCCAATTCCCCCTCCCACCACCTCCTCCCAACCACACCTCTGTGAAACAGCCCTTTTCCACTCACATGGCTGTGATGGTCTCATTGTGGAAGGTGACAAAGGCCATCCCCAGAGGCTTCTCATTCACCTTTTCCTTCTCCCGCTTGTAATCATCCTTAAGCTTCTCCTCTAGCTTGGTGTAATACTCTATGGCCTCCACCTGGACACAAGTCAGAACACAGAGCCCCATTTACTGTGTAGCTGCTCCTTTGGGCCCCTGGCTGGGCACCTGCCTGGTGTTGCTCCTCCCCAGGCTGGAGAGGTGGTTGTCAGGGGCAGGAGTTCTGTGGGGTGCCACTAGGTCAGGGGGACCACCCTCATGATACATCAGCTCTGCTTGTTATTAGGGCTGAAAGAAGCTGAGTTAACAAAGCAAATGGGTCAGGGGGGTGGGTTGACACAGCCCTTCTTGTGCTGATACTGGCAGGAGCTGGCAGCATTGTCAGGCCAGTGCGCTTAAAATGGGGGTGATGTCCCAGCACCTGTAAACTGACTGTATGACTGCCTGTATACAGACCTCACCGACCCCCTTTGCTTACCTCTTCACAGCCCTTGATGACACAGCAGCACAGGTGGCCACAGGGCTTGGGGTTAATCATTGCTGGGGTGTTCTCCTTGCTCTGCAGGTTGGTGAAATAGATCTTCCCACGTTCAGCTTTCTTCCTGTAACAGAAGGTGGCAAGAGGAGAAGGGGCTCATAAAAACTCTCATGGCACCAGCTCTGCTCAGGGAGGGTGAGAGTTGGAGTGGAAAGCAATGAGAACAGCATACCAGCAAACTCATGCTTGGACATGCTACCCCAGACCTGGGCTCCCTACGTCCAGCTCTGCAGATGTCCCTCCCTTCTAACCTGCAGCCCCACTCCCATGTAACTTCTAGACTGCCCTTGAGCAGGGACTATCATTCAAGTCAAGTGGTACCCAGCTCCATGGCTCTGTGGTGGAGACAGCGCCTAACTAAAGACTAATCCAAGACCATCCCACACATTTTACTAGTGATCTGTTCTGTCACAATGAGGTGGTGAGACAGCCTTTCAAAGGAGAGGTGGCAAGGGTCGGTCATTAGCTGATTTTAAGCTAGAACTCAACCATCTTGAGATTATACAAGGGGGTTGCCTGAAATAGCAGGTGATTGGACTTTATGATCCAGGAGGTCCGTTTTGGGCTGGCCTCACACCACTGAAGGGAAACCCCTTATGTTGCTGGACATCACCCTCTCAGCCCAGCAGCATTCCTTTAGCTCTGTGCAATGTTCCTGGAAGCCCTTGTCCCCTCACCCCAGTTTTTACCTCTCTGCATCCAAAAACATGAGCCTGGCCACATCATAACAAGGGCGCGCCTCCAGCACGGTACAGTTGGCATAAGCCTCCCTGCAAACAGAAGAAACCACTCAAGCTAATCAGAAGCGAGGCTGAGATATACAGCACCAACAAAGCTGTTGTAGTTGGAGGGAGTGCTGTCCTAAGGTCTGGGTGCTCCAGCTCATGGGCCAAGTCCCAACTGCCAGGGAATGTGGCTAACAAGCTCCTTTAGCCACGTGAAAGCTTCTGGGAGGGCCTGCTGAGGAAGCTGTCCGCTTGGGCACCAGAGGGAGGCCCCTCCAGTTGTTTGCACCGGAAGGAAGTGGGTATAGTTGGAAGACGGCTTCCGAGAAGGTGTGACATGGAATTCAGACAATTAAAAATAATAGTATGGGGGTATACAGGAGGGATTAATGACCTCTGTACCACTTCAGGGGGTTGGGTACCCCATATACATCTCCTCCCCTCCCATCCCATGATCCTGTTGTGCTTCAAGGCTCTGTGCAGGCAGGAAGTTGAGGCACTGAACAATGACAAGAGTGAAGACTTCTCAATATTTTACAACCCGCAATTCTTTTTTGAAGGAAAAACTGGTTTCTGAGTTTAGTGTAGCATCTGCTTTCCAAAAAAAATGGTATCTTTACTGAAAAACTGAACGCTGCGTGCCCCTGGAGGCTGGGGAGGGCACGGCAAGCTCCCGCAGGCAACGGCAGCACTGCTGGAGGCGGCAAGACCGGAGCTCCCACAGGCAGCCATAGTGCTGTCAGTGGCAGGGGGGGGGGGGCGGGGGCGGGAGCCCCCACCACTGGTTGGCAACCACCCGCAGACGCCACCAGCAGCGGTGGCAGTGGCCAATGTGGACTGCCTGCAGATGACGCCAGAGGTGTCGGCAGCAATGTGGGGGGAGGTAGGGAAGGTGGTGAGCAGTGACTGCCCACAGGGGGTGCACCGCCATGCTCAGGGGGTGCACATACACCCACAATCACCGCCTACATGTCACCAATGCCTGAAGACTTTGGACTCAGAAACACCACTGCAGCATGATCCTGGACTTGCATTTTGTGAGCAGCATACCCCCAATTTCCTCCCTGGACTTGATCCCTAAGTTGAACTTCACCTCCTATGATGCAGTCTGGCTACAAAATCCCATGATGTACCAGAGTGCTTCTGTCAAAGGGGAGACAGCAGGGCATCATGGGAGTTACAATTCAGCCTTTAAAGTAGAATGGGGAATGAGGCACCCGAGCTACAACCTCCCCCTACAAAAAGAAAAAAATAACTGTGATAATATTTCTAAATGCATGTTTTTTACTCTTTTAGGGCTGAATATTTTCAATGCTCAATGTTGTATATTTTCTCTTTTGCCCCAAAAGTTAACATTTTCCCCTCAAAAATTACTCCCCACTGAGGGCAGCTTTGGTTGAGATTCAGGGCAAGCATAGAAACTCACTCAAAATGCTTCTTGATCTTCTCTGGCTCAGCATATTTTGAGATGCCATTGACGAAGAGAGTTCGCTTCACCTGGAAGAGACAAGGGAGTGACAGGTGAGAACTGGACAAGGACTCCAGCAGGCAGGAGGCCAGGTTTCAGCCAAGAGACCAAGGGCAGGCCAAATTTAAGGTTGGGGGGGAGCAGGTGTTTATTAATGGCTATGATCATGCATCCAGTTCTACCAGGCTGCCTCCATTGTTAGCAAATGCCCGACAGTCACCGCAGTTGTGAGCCCTTCAACTAATTCTGTAACCAATGGAAAAGATGTTGAGTAAATAATTTAAGAAGGGGAATCAGACAGCTTAAGTAGGCAGTGAATAACCTAAGTGATTTAAGAAAGCTGGGGGCTACAACAGATTAGATTTCAAAGTGGGAAGCAGGCATTCTGTAAACAGTGCCGCCCCTACCATAAACGTGATAAAACCTGTGAATACTGGGGACACTACAAGACCAGAAAATAAACATCAGACCAGGAAAACATCCTGAAAGGGGCAAAGGACATGTTGTTGTCAAGACAGCCAAGGAGGAGACAGTGTGCAGATGACTGATAAAAGTGCAAGTAAAAATAAGAACTGTGGGACCTGTGCCCCGACCTGCCAAGAAGTGCAGACCCCAGAAAAACTTCTGAAAGCCAGGCTGAAGGCAAAAGTAATCAGAACTCTTGGGGAGGTGATATCTTGTGTTAGACCAACTAGACAGTTGCAGACACACTGTCCTTGGGACTACATAAGACTTATGCAAAGTTTTTGTTGCGTCTTAACTTAGGCAAAGTTTTCTGTTGTTTCTTTGTCTGATGCTTAAAATTGTAAATTGCTGTAATCAAATGCTCTCTGCAGAGAACAAACTAATCTTGTCCAAGCCATTTTCTAACACTAAAATTAGGTAACACCATCCCTTCAAACACCAAACTGCAGGCAACCTGATCAAGCCACTCTGGGCCAGAGCTTGTAAGACAGCTCCTGGGCTCACTGGTCATTGAGGAGAGTTGAGCTGTCCCCATTGCCCATGGTCAGGTAGCAAAATGGCTCCTTGGGAAGGGTGACCTGCCAGTTGGTGGTATTGCACAGATGACAACCTGACACATAGCCAAGCCATGTCCCATCCCCTGCACAGTGTAGACATGGGAACTACACTGAGGCTGTTTGCAAAGAACTGTGGTGATGGCATTATGCTTGGGAAGTGATGTAGATGAGATGACAAACAACAAGGGAGCCCAGAATCCATGCAGTAGAAGGACCTCCAAATGGGAAGAGGCAGAAGAGGAAAGCACCTCTCTACTCTTAGTGGGGTCTTGGGAGACCTGGGGCTGTTACATGTACACTGGGATGAGATGGGGTAAGACCCCTATATGGGCAGTACCTCCAATGTAAGTTGGAGGACTGCCTAGGCTGGCAGAGGAAGAGAGAGGCAGAGAGGCACAGGGAAGGGCAAGTGGAACTTACCAAGTCATCCTCCTTGTAGCGCATCTTGGAGGTGTGCCGGCGCATGCTGTACACTGTCAGCAGCAGGTACAGGAAGGCAAAGGTTGTGTGCAGCCACAGCAGGTGAGTCCTGATACCAGAGAGAAGCCACCCTCAGCAGAGACCCAGCAGCTGGCACAGGGCCCACCATTCCCTTCCTCTCACTCAGCAGATACCTCATGCCTTGCCAGTCACCCTGCCAGGCCAGGCTGACCAGCATAGTGTAGGGAGGACAATTCACATGCCTCAGAGCTTAGCTTGCTGCTCTGGGCTGAACTCAATAACATGGTATTCCCAGAGCCTGCACCCAGGCTTTTGCTCTGCAGGTAGAAACTGCTAGGGGTGGACTCTGCAGCCTGCCTGGGCTAACAACAGCAGCAGGACACACAGACAGTGGCACAGTGACCACCAGGGCCTTCGTGCACTGGGAGGCTGGATGACACCATGGGGTAGTGTCCCACTCTTCCCCACCCCAACCACTGGGGCTCTGCTTGACATATGCCAGGGGCCCAATCCACCCCCTCCAAAACATACCGGGAATTCAGGTTAGCAATAGTTGTTCTCCCAAAGCTGTAGGCATTGTTCTCTGGAGAGAAAGACGGACAGATAGACACACTCAATTAAACCCAACCGAGTTGTGGTGTGGGGTACCCAGAATGGTGGGGATGGGCCTGGGCAAGCCTGCTTTAGGTGTCACATAAGTAATGCCCCTAAGAAACAAGAAGTTTTTCCTCACAATACCCTTTAATTGATATAAAGGTGAAAGGTCAAAGCATCTGGGCACTCCGGACTTCTTGGCTGAGCCACTCTGGTCCCAAACACAATACAGTGGGGGCAAAGCTGCTTATGGGCATTGTGACACCTTCCCCAGACATGGCGAGACCCTGCCCCCCATCCCCAAGTTACAGCCACTTGCACTCAGAGACCATAGACCCTGATCCACCCTGATCCTCCCCACATGGTATGCTGGGGTTAGATCACTGAAAGGGGTACGGGTGCTGAACAAGACCAACTATTTATCTTCCTAAGTTGGGAACCAATCTACCAGGAGCCCCTCCTCCACTCCCCTACTCACCTAGCAAGTCCCCTGAGAAGTTCACAGGTAGCACAATGCCCACAGAAAGCACGCCCACAGCCACTAGCAGCCCTATGATGTGCCGCTGGAAGGAAAGGTAATGGACTGCATCGCCCCCACACTTATCCCGGATCTCATCGTCCCTGGCAAGGAAAGGCAGGCAATGAGGCACTGTTAACAAGGGAACAAGTCCTAGAGGAAAGCCCAACACTGTGGCTGTGGCACCTGAAGCACGAAGTGCACAAACCCCTGAAGCCTGAGCTAAAAGCATCCAAATGATCCCACATAACCAAAGTGCTTTGAGACCTCTGGATGGGAAGTACTGAGCTCACTGCCAGCTAGGGGTCCATGTGATCATATAGGAACATACCATATTTACTCAACTCTAAGATGACCCCAAATGTAAGATGACTCCTCAATAATTAGATTTTATACATGGAAAAATTAGTGTGTTATAATTTTCCAGGTACAGAATTTAATTATTGAAGAGCTACCTTAAATTCTTCCCTCCACCACTGCAGGGGGTAGGCAGCAGGATGACAGGTGGTGTGGGGTGGTCAAATGTCTTACCCCCTGCTTGTGCCTGCCCCCATCTCCCCCAAGACTCAAGCTATTCCCTTCCCCCTCTGCCTCTGCTCCACCTTCCCCTCTCCTCCCTCAGCCCCTGCCCCCCATTCCTGCCTCCTTGCCCTTGCTCTGTAATGACAGACTCCATCCCTGCTCTAGCCTGGGGCACATAGCACATGTGGGCTGTGCAGTGCTGCTCTGGGGCCGTGCTCAGTGCCCCATCCTGCAGCTTGAATGAAGCCTGGTGGCATGGAGCAAAAGTAAACATGGAGGGAGAGCGGCAGGCAGGGGAGAAGAGGCTGCATGAGGGATAGGGGAGATGGGGAGAAGCTACAGGAAGGAGATAGCAGGGATTGGGGTGGGGGCAGGCAGCAGCTCTGGCACTGACCCTAGGTAGGGGCTGGAGCTCAAGCCACAGCAGCAACCTGCCTCCCCCCATAAATGATTCTAAGATGAGGGGCTTTTTTTCCCCAAGTTAAATGGGGGGGAGGGAAATGGATCTCATCTTAGAATTGAGTAAATACAGTAAGATGGACAGGGAATTCCTGGGTCATCAAATCGAGCCCCCTGCTACTTTAGGCTCCCTGGCTTATTGATGGCAATGGACTGAGCAGGCTATGGCAGATCCCTTCCTTAAAGCAGGTGAGGTGGGGCAGGGCAGAGTGGATGGATTACAGCTAAGGCACTTGACAGGGCTGTGGGAGACCAGGGCTGGTTTCCTTTTCCTGCCTCTGACTTGCTGGGTGTCCTCAAGTCACTTAGCTATTTTGTCTCCAATCCTGCTCTGTAAGTTTAGGAAGTGACTCTTCCACAGTTTGTCCTTGTTGCTCAGACTGCATGCTGCTTGAGGCAGGGAATGTCTCTTGCCACATGCTTGTACAGTATTTAGTACAAAAGGCTTGGATTCCAGTCAGGGCTTCTCGGTGCAACTACAACACAAATGACTAACTTTCTAAAGGATGAAGTCTCCCCCACCTCTTCTGCTACTTAGGTCCAGGCAGGATCTCTGCTGTAAAACTAGTGCCTGGATCCAAGGCTGCACTTACTTTATCCTGAAGATGGCTGTCAGCCAGGAGCAGAATCCCTGCACAGAGAGACAACAGGAGCCTGTGTTACACTGTGGCATCTCAGCATACCCCTCTCTAAAGCCCTAGGAACAGGTCTACACTGTATCCCTGGCCTTGCCCACAGCTGCCGCTCACACACTACAAACCAAAGAAATATGCCAGGGAAGCCTCTCCAAGTCCAGTCTCTGCAGGCAGTCTTAAGACCTTGGTCTCCTGGGTACTTGTGGGGGACACTCCCAGAACCACTTTACCACCACATTCCCAGGTCTGGAGCATGGAGACAGGGGTGGGTGGGCTAGATATTCCCAGAAGTGCCCCTCCTCGGACAGGCCAGGGCTCCTGTGTAAATGCTACTCCTCTCTCCTCTCCAGCAAGCAGAAAGCTGTGTTTGCTCTCCCATCTCCCTGATTCCCACTGGCTTACTCTGCCAAAGTGGGAAGCTCAGGGAGGACACAGACCATACGTGCTCAGGGGGTACAGGACTGTGAATATGCCCATCTGGGGTAGGTCATGATTATCATGTGATGTTGCCTAAGCACAGCATTTGTCAGGGTCTGGTCTGTGACAATACCACCAACTGGCTGGTCACCCTTCCCAAGGAGCCATTTTGCTTTCTGATCATGGGTGATGGGGACAGCTCAACTCTCCTCAGTGACCAGTGAGCCCAGAAGCTCTCTCTCACAAGGTCAGGCCCAGAGTGGCCAGATGAGGAACAGTGCACAAGGAGCCAGAGGAAGCAGGAACTAAGCCAAAGCTTCCTCTAGGACAGAGCAGGTCTGGGGTGAGAGATGTCTTGTGGGAAGCCCGCCGGGATTTGCTGGATCCTGGACTCTGCCATCTAATTTAACTACAGCTGCTTGTTGGAGAAAAAGGACATAGCAAGGGACCATTCAATTGCCTTGTCACTTTTAAAAGAATTTATCAGCTGGCTGTGAGGTGGAAGAGCCAACACCATGCAACCAACCACCACCCATTTGGGACCAGTTTGAGAACCTCACTTCCTGCAACTGGTTGACAGGGTGTGGTGGGGTGATCTGGATGCTTGGGTTTTTTCCCTCAGAACCAGGAGTGGAGTATTTCCCAGTGGTTAGAGCACTGGACAACAAGTCAGGACTCATTTTCTCTATGGCTTTTGGGTAAAAGGCTTCTCTTCTCTGCACTTCCGTTTTCCTCTTGTGGAATGCGAAGGATGATGCTGCCTTGGTCCCAAGGCTCAGCTGGCACATGCAATGGACTATAAGCCACCTAGGCAGGAGGTGCTACACTGATTTTTGCTGCTACTCACATTGTCCCTCTGGTCGAAGTCCACGGAGCTGGAGACGGAAGTGAGGCGCTCATAGCGGTCGTGGTTGTCAGAGTGCAGAGCAGAGGCCACGCTGGAATTACAACAGAGGGGAAGAAAATCAATGAGTCAGTGGGAGAGAGCAGAGAAGACTGGCCAGGAAGCAGCAGCACCCAGAAGATCAGAGGTTAATTCAGGTCAGTTTGCCCCAGGCGAGATGGAGAGAGAAGAGCCTCAGAGAGCAGAGTGTCAAGCAGTTAGCAGAGTCCCTCCTTATACCACATGGACAAGATTGGCCTCCAGGGCCTGACCCACAGACAGACAGACAGAGAGCTCTACTGGCATTCACAGGAACAGACAAAGAGAGTATGTTTAAGCAGGTTCCCTTTCCTTCCTCTCCCTTTCTCCCCAGTAGTCCCTCACTCCCAGGTCTGGTCAGCAACAGCAGGACAGCTAAGCTGCAGCCCAGACCAAAGGCCAGAGAACATGAAGCGCCTGTGCATGTGTACTAGAGAGTGAGGACAAAGTTGCCCCCAGGTGAGGAGGGTCCTGGGGATGCTGCTAAGGAGGAGAGATTTGACCTACCAAATTTGGAGTGGGGATGGATATTGGATAAGAGGGGATATAGGAGAGGGCTCCATGGTAATGGGTGTCATGAGTAGGTTGCTTGTGACACAGCTGCAAGGAGCCACATGGGAAATCTAGGTGACAACTTTAAATTGGTTAATTAAACAAAAATCCTGTATAGCAGTGGTTTTCAATTTTTTTTGGCTGCATACCCTTTTACCTGCAAAATATTGCTACTCATATCCTACATACCTGACATGTTTCTACGTGTTCATTCCTTAAACAGAGTGCTGATGCCAACATCAATGCCATTACTCACTGTGCAATGAACAATCATAAACTCCATGATCATTATTAAGATTTAGGCATGTATCCCTCAGGGTACATATATCAGAGTTTAAAAACCACTGCCATACAACATGTGACTGCCCAAGGAGAATGCTGAGGCCAAGTTTAAAAATATAAGAACAAGACTCCATGAGGAATACAAGACGACCCAGGAACTAGGTTGGGGAGAAATGTGTATGGGCTATATACAATTTAACCAAAGACTTCCCTGGGCACAGGTTGCTCTATAAATACCCACTAGTAGGTATTGACATGTTTTCCTGAAGCATTTTGGTATTGGGCAACCTTAGGGCATTTATACACATACTTTTTTTCCCCTGGGACACACTGGAGAGTCTGCTCCGCACAAGCTGAGGTGAGCTTCACTGCACTGCGTGCAGTTCTGTAAGTGGCAAAATGTGCGTCAACAGGCAGAAAATGGCAGCGGCGTACTTTTGAAATAAAGCCCCTCTGAGGTGCAATGCAAAGCACCTTTAAAGCGACACATGCATGTGTAAAAATGCCCTTAGAGACAGGCCACTGGTCCAGTTTCTATGTTCCTCCGGTGAATGAGAGGGCTGGACAGAATGAGTTAGCATCTGCGGAATATTATAGTGCTGTACACAGTTTTGCAAATATATCATAACATTTTCCTTCATGCATTTCATTCAAAGGATTTAGCTGGCGATATCATCAGCTCCATTCTTCCAAAGGAAAAGAGTCGCAGAGAGAGGAGGGGACTTGTTCAAGATCACATAGAGGCAAGCGTGGCCAAGCCCGGAACAGGACCCAGGTGACCTGCCTCCCAGACCTGCTCTAACTGCCTGACCCTGTTTTCCTTTCTGTGAGCAAGTTGAAGGTCAAGCGTATGAACAGACAAGAGTGTGTATGGAGGCACCTCTAGTATTCAGTTCCTGGCTGGCTTAGCTGCTAGGGGGCACATCTACCATTCTGGAGAGAACAGCAACATTTCTCAGACATCTGTCTCAAGGTGACCAAAGACTGGATAGACAGGTTGGACTGCATCCTGGGACACGTAGTTTCCGTAGACCTCACTTTTCTGATTAAGGAGAGCTGGGTACCTCAGGGGCCATATGCGGACTATCCCAACCTAATTCCTCAACTCCTTATCCTCAGCCTTTGTACTGCTATCATAGCCTGCAAGCTGCTCAGAGTGCAGTTGGGTAGTGCACAGTGAGAGCAGCAGCTTGTCCCTCATTTTTGCTGGAATCCCCAGTGCTGGGAAAGCCAGAGAGGACTGGCTGAGCTCCCTGGAGGCAGGCTCGGCATAGCTTTCTCCATAAAATTCAGCACAGTCTGTGCTTCAGGGGCAGGTGGGAAATCCTCACTTACCCACGAGGGGAAACCAAAGCAAAACAGGGTGTGGGGGCAAAGATTGGGGAATTGCTCTGGGCTGGAAGGCAGAGAGCAATAGAGGGGGAGGAGGCAGCTACTTCCTGCAGAGGATGAGGATGGGGGAGGCCAAGACACTGAGTGCTGTGTATTAGTGATTTCCCCTCAGCGAAGGAAACTACATGGTGGAACATACTGGGAAGGTGGGGGTGTACTAACTGAACCATGTTTCCTGTGGGTCACTTGGGGTGTCATTCACTTGCATGGCATGAGCCAACTAGTTCTCTCATAGCTGTATCATAGCACTGGAGGCTGCGGGGCTGGAGTGCACAGAAGGCTCTCAGTCTCAGACCTGGTCCCCTGGGGTTTAGCTCCAAGGCCAATGGAAAGCAACAGGTGCCCTACCCTTTGGGGGGCTTTGGGCCAAGTCTGGGGTTATTACTGCAGAGTATTTCCATCAGAAGGAGACATTACTCCTCCTCTTGAGCCCAGGGAGGCTAGCTCCTGGGGAGGCTGGGGGTGCTGAAAGCAGCGAGTGGAAAAATAAATGTCTGATCAGGCAGGAAAGGGAGTGAGTGACTACCTGAGGGAGAAACTGGACAGTAGGATACTCAGAGAGTGAAGAGTGGGGAGGTCTGTGAAACTCAACTGCAGAAGAGACCTCTCTGAAGAGCTGGGTCACAGAGAAGGCCCCACGTGCTCTTGGGCAAACCAGACTACTTCTGTAGCCTGGTCCCTGCATCCCACAGCACGTGGCCATGGCAGATTTTGAAGCAACTTCAGAATGACTCTGGAGATGGAGAACGGGGCAGTGCAATGGGCTGGGTTGTTCACTTGGATATTTTATATCAACTCCAGTTGTCACTGTGCTGGAGTGCTCTGGGGTGAAAAATGGAACTGAACCTCAGTTAAAAGGGGAAACCTAGAGATTTTGGGAACTAACAGAAGACAGCTGCTTCCAGACTTGGTGAGAGGGAAGGAGCAATCTGAGATTGTAGGTTAAGCATGTTAGCTGGATGCTTCTGTCAAATCAGCAATGAAATGGTGAACAGTGCTCACATTTATGCTGTCATCACTCTGTTTCAGGGTTAACATCCCAGATGGATGAACAAGGAAGTTCATTTCATTATAGCTATTCTTTCAGGTTCTCTGTAAACTCGGGCAGGCACCCGTGGATTGGCTACACTTGGTTCATGTTATCTTGGCAACAATCAGGGACTGCATTTAATGGAAGCTGAGATGCTCAAGCCTAATCCTATAGCAAGAAATGGAGCCCATGGCAGTGAGCTCACAAGATAGAACTCGCTACTGAAGCATGCAAGGCTGCCTGGTAGGAGACTGGGCTGCTGTTCTGGACCAAGACAGGCAGCTGTGTGGCAAAGGAGCGGCTGCAAGTGTTAAGAGACCTTGAGAAGTGATGGGAAAAAAGTGGTAATGGGCGGCTGACACCTTAGGTAGAAGGATGGATGAACAGAAGGCAGGCAGGAAGACTGGAAATAGGAAAACTTGGTCCCCATTAGGGGTGCTAGATGATGACAGGACCAGATGGAGAGGAGCCCAAGGGAGGTCAGGAGCCCAAACAGGGACTGAGAGGCAAGCACAAGAGAAGCCAGCAGAGGAGACGCAACTGGTCCTCATTGACGACTCCCCAGAAAAGAGGCTTCTGTGACACAGAGGAAGGGAACTGGGAGGGCCCAGGCTGCCCCCCAAGCATCCTGGCAGAAGAATGGAGAAGAGCACGGCAGCTCCTGCAGAGTGGCCTGATCTCCCCACCACTCCCGCTGCTGCTGCCTGGAAGCGAGGACACAAGCGAAAGGCGATTAAAGAAGGACTTCAGGGACGTGGGGAGGGAAATGAGAGGAGCAGATTAGAAAGAAGCCTGAGGCTGAAGGTGCAGATGTGCCACTCCCTAAGGGAAGGAAGGGAGTCCCCTCTCTGCACAAATCAGGGCAGACCCTGAGCTAAGCCTGAAGCCCTTCAGTCCCAGAAGCCTTCTGTCCTGGAGCAGAGAGGGATTAGCAGCAATCCCTGCAGCTCTGCAGTTGGGTAGCTATGCTGTATCCCGGGGCCTTCCTTTTCCAGTCAGGCGACACAGACCAAAACTGTTTGGAGGAGAGCAGTGCTAGAGGGATCCACTTAGAGAAAAGAGCAGAAATCAAACCTGACTGGCCAGACTCAACACAAAAGAGGGTGGTGGTGATGTGAAGGGAGTGGGAGACCGCCAGTCTAGAGCCCCAGGGCAAGTGTGAATGCCAAGAAGGGGAGGCGGTCACTGGGGACATGCCTGGAAGCAGCACTGCACCATTACAGGAAGGAGGATACAGAAGGGCTCTCATACGCCCCTTCCTGCGAACACTGTACCCAGGGATGCCAGAAGCCCCTGCAGCCAGGCCCCCTAAAGCAAGACTGAGCAAAGCACAAGCAAAACGTGCTCTAGGCTGAGATCCTGCCCTGGCCCCTGCAAGCGGGTCAGGATGAGACCTGTCAGGCCCATCCTGTGGGACACAGTGCCTGCGCAACTATGACTCACTCACCGTGCGGAGTCTGGGCCTCGGCCTCAGGCACGGGGAAATAAACGGGCACAGGATCCACAAGGGGGAGCTCGTGGGCAACGTGTTGCCAGGCAGATTAGGCCCAGGCTGGCGGCTGAGCCAAGCAGGAGGCAGCAGTGTGGGCGGGATGTGGGACAGGACCACTTCTACCTGAGGGCTGGGGTCCGGCCTGCTTCCTCCCTCCCTGCCCATGAAACAGAGCCATCCTCTGCTCCAGCTTGCACAGAGGATGGCTGGCATGGGTCTAGGCAGCAGGAAGAACAAGGACACAAGCACACAAGCAAGCCAGCACTTCTCTAAGATGAATGTGCCACCTGTGCTAGTTAGGAGTGATGCTGTGCAGGGAACAGTGCCCTAGGTCTCAGGCTGTGAACATCAGGCCTCAGTGGCCAGCAGACCAGCTGCAGCCCTTGCAGGTTTCTCCATACCTGTGTGCACAACACACCAACGCAACCCTACATGGAGACACAGCTGGGAAGAGCTGCTGTCAGCCCTGGGGTGGAGGTGGGGGAGAGGATAGATCCAAATTGGGTTTTCCTTGCTCAGCTTCAGCAGTTGTTAGCTAGCAGCCATCAAAACAAAGCATATCATGGCTCAGGCTGTGAGATCCCCCTAGGCAGCAGAGAGAGGATCCCTGCCAGGGCAGGACGGGGAGGAGGGTGGAACAAGAGAGAAGAAAGGGGCGAGCAGGGTCAGGGGACTGGTACTGCCTTCCCAAAGAGATTCTGTGCTGGGCCCTGGGCGTGGGTGCCGCTGTGCTTGTGCTTCCAAAGAGCTTGCAGGACCTGTCTCCAAGTGCAGCACCATAGCTGGGCCTGTGCCTCTCGCCAGCTGGCATCATGGTGGGGGGTAGGGGGATGGGAAAAGGGCCACAAACCTGGGTGTGGCACTGCATGCAAGGTGCGAGAAGAAAGTCAGATTGCACAGGCTGGGAACAGCTTGCTGCAGAGCCTCATGGACTGCATGGGTCAAAAGCAAGAAGGGCAGCAGGATGCCAGACAAGCACAAATCCGGTCTCCTTGAAGAGACCCCTGCCCTGCCCAGCAGGACTACATTAGTGGGAACCCCGAATTTCAAGGCCAGGAGGTGATGAATGGAGGGGAATGTGCAACTGGGCACTGACCCTTCCTATATAATCCTAAGTGAGACAGAGCACGGGGCAGCCGATTTCCCCCAAGCAAAGGCTAGACGCAGACCAAGATTGCCCTGTGAGGACCAAGTTGGGGCAAGTACCAGGGTTTCCCCATGCCATGCCCAGAAACAGCTTTCAAGATAGGGTTCAGCTCACCTGTGGAGCTGGGCACAGCTGAGAAGAGAAGCTCCAGTTTGCTGGGCTGATGCCTATCAGCTCCTCCTGACCCTGTTTTGTGCTTTGCAGTGAGAGCTGGTCCCCTCCCGCACAGCGCTGGCTGTCTGGCCAGGGACAGTAGTGCAAACAAGACCAGATGATCAAATAGATCGCTGCTCACTAGGGTGGGGACAGGGCGGAGTGCATGTTTTGGAAAAAAAAGTTGTCAAAATGTGTAAGGATGTTGGCCCTGCTGGAAGCAGGAGGAACATGTGTGTGCACAGGATCTATCTAGGCCAAGCTGCTAGGCCAGCAGTTGTTGCTGGGGTTTTGCAACAGGCAGTGTCTGGCCAAGGTACCGGATGGTGCCTTCCATAGCTCTACCAGGAAGCACATGCCTGCAACACTGGCTGATGCTGGAGTATGAGCTTAGGGAAGACAAAGACAGTGCCATCCCCTGGCACAACTGCTAGGTTTAGGGTGCATGGGGAGGGGGGAGATGAAGGCCAGGCCCTGCCCCCCATAGCAGGCTGGCCACCTCAGGGGGTAGTAGGGAGCAAACTCCAATAATCACACCCCTGACCTACCAGGCCCTCTCCAAAACCAGGTATCTAGGAAGACCCCCACCCCTCGCTGGTCCGGTAGCACAGCTGAATTGATTGGCATGAGGAAAAGGCCTTGCTGAAGAGAAGGCACAGTGAGGGATGCCTGTGGAGTCAGAGGGCAACCTGTATTCGCAGCTGTTTCTTCTGGAGGGACAGAACCAGACTTCTGGCTCCTGTGCCTCTGAACATGGGGATGGAAAAAGCCCCTTTCCATTCCCGCCCCAACTGTGTGGTGGCAATGAACTGTAGTCTGAGTCAAGGGCTCCGAGAGAAGCCCCTCAGCACCACCATCCACAGATGTACAGAGGAGGGGTGAGCAGGGTGGGGAGCAACCAGCCTTTGGGAGGTGGGGGATGGGATGAACAGAGGTGTCCCTTGTCCTGGTTTCTGCAAACACACACGTTTTGGAGTAAGGCACAGTTAATGCTGGGGCAGCCTCCAGCATCACAGGGCAGGCTGCTTCTTGTGGGGACCGTCCTTTAGAGGACAGGGTCGGATATCTGGGAAGGAGAAGGCGAGGGATGGGGCTCCTTCAGATGTGGCATATGGAAAAAAGGGAAGAGCCTGCATCAACTGAAACACACAGACCCTAAAGCCCTAACTCCCAGCTACTCAGATTAGTCCAGAAGCAAGATTAAAAACTGCAAAAGAAAAGGCAGGAGAGAATGACAGGGAGAGGGAGAGAGAGAGGTAAAAGAAAAAACACCCTGAAAAAAACCAGCAACGTACTATTCCCGCTCCTCTCGCTCTGTCTGCCAGTCCCGCCGCCTGGGAGCAAAAAAAACAGAAAAGGAAGGGTTAAAACCATGGGAACTCTCAGGCACACGCAGGGAACCTCCTCTGTCTAAGAGGACACCTCACCAGGCAGCTCCTTGCCATCCTGAGGAGAAGCCTGTCCACCAGCAGACGAAAGGAAGAAAATAAAAGGCAAAAAACCTTGCTTTTCACAGCTCGGTTCCGCACCAGGCTGCAAGTGCCCCAAGGCAGGGAACCTTTCATTTTTGCCTGTGAAATCCTACATGAACCTTTGGGGCTGACTCAGTAATGCACTTCCATTAGCTCTGCAGTGCAGCTGGGGCTCTCACATGAAGGGGTTGTAGTCTTGGAGCTGCAAACTTGATGGGAAGAGTGTGTGTGCACATGTGCAAATTTGGGATTTTGCAAAAGAATCTGCACTACCATTTAAGCAACTGCTTCCCTGGACTTCATGTGCGTCTGTAAAATTCCAAACCTTAAAATGCACTATTTTTCTCCTGAGCAGAAAGATGATGCAAGACATGCACGCAGCACCTCAGCATGGACCTCTACAGTCTCTCAGTCCTATCCCACATCAGATTCCCAAGCTATGGTTTGCAAATCTGGCAGAAAGCATTTCCCACTCCTACTGCCCCATTCCTCCTTCCCTACTGCACTCCTGCTTCTCACTCCTACTGCCCCACTGTCAGGGGCCTGGAGCCCAGCAGCCAGGATGTGGGGTCCTTCTTGCCGGGCAGGATGCCCCTAGAGCAGCTCTTGAAGAAAGGGAAGATGCTGAATGACCTTCAGGAGCTGTGCTCTCTGAGGTGGAGCAGGAGCAGCAGCATACAAGCTGAGCCAGCTGCTGTAGGACCTGGGCAGGCAGGATAGCCTGGACAGGCAAGGCCAGGACCCTGCAGTGCCAAGTAAGAGAAGCTCTCCTAGTTCAGCTTCCCGTTTTTCCTCTTTTGATCTTTTGGTTGAGCTATTCTTATACACTCAGGTCTCCCTGACAGCGCTGGTGTCTGGCCAGCACGCTGACAGACAGGGACAGATCCCCCTTCGCTGCAAGTTACATTAGGACAGAGGACACTTTAGGAGAAGCAGCTCCACCTGTCCTGGAGACAAAGGCCTCGGGCCAACTCCTGCTTCCGCTGACAGCAAACCCCATTGACTCCCCAGGGAGCAAGGGCAGCTGGTGCATCCTGCCTGGCTCTTCCCTCCTCCCACCCCTCTTCAGTGTCTTATAGCAGCGCATGTGATTACACAGGCAGTGGGAATGTTTTACATGCCACAATGCCCCTCTTCCACAAAATGAGGAACAAACCAAATAATTTTGGTGCAGGATGGAGGGCTGAGGACCTTGACAGCAGGGAAGCTGCTGTCCAGGAACCTATAGGAACTACTGTTTGGGCCCAGGGTGCTGTCATGCTACCTTCCTCTCATCACACTTCCCCCCCACGTCAGTGGAGGCAGATCATGGCCCACGCACACTAAGTGTGTGAAGGCCCAAGTCAGTAACTTTCCTATCCCAACACTGCTAGGGAAATTGGTCCCATAGGTCCATTTAGAGAAATTATTTTCCCCTTATGATGAAGACGCTGACTCTTCTCTTAGTCTCCTGATTAGGAACTGAGGAGAGGCTCTCTCCTGTAAGTCCTCTTAGCCCCCCTTTTCCTCCTCATATACTTTAGAAGCAAACTCTAACCTAAGGTCTCTTGCACCAGCTCCCTAAGGTTATATGGGGAAATGGAAAGGGAGCACTCACTGTCCCTATCAAGGATCAGAGGCGATGTAGGAAACCCTCAGCCCAAATATTTTAAGTACTGGGGGGGAAAAAAAAAAAAAAAAAGTCTGACCTGTATGGAGGGTGTCCTGGCAGCAAATCACCAGATGGGCAAAATGTTTTAACTGCTGCCTTAAAATGTGCCCGTGTAATGGGGATGGCAGGACAATCCTTTTCCTCCACGGTTCAGACATCAGTGCAGGAAACACAGTGCTTAAGGGCTTAGATCAACCATCTCCTTTGGGATGCCTGTTGTGATCCCCCCACCCCCCCATGAGGCCTGGGCTTCAACATCTGCACCCATAGTTACCAGCATGAAGATGCTTCACTTCACTTGAGAGCCAAAATGTTTTCCAGGGAAGCAGCAGCCCAGCCACCTCTGCTTCATCCCAAGGATGGGGATAAGAGCCTAACAGAAGGCTGGGAACACTGCTCACCTGGCCTGACACAACCCTCCCTTTCCCTTGGATCCCCTTTATACTCACTGCCTGCCCCCCTCCCCGCCCCAGGGTCTCACCTCTAGCACCCAAGGTGCTCAAACTCCAGACCTCAGCCAAGAAGATGCATCTCTCCTTCAGCCCCTGGGGACTGCAGCTGTGTGCAAAGACTCCAGAATCACCCTCCCCACCCCACACCAACACTCACAAGCCCATATAAATGGCCCTGCTATTGAGGCTTAGGGCATGTGTGAAGCAATGCTCTGGTCTCAACACCTGCCTTGTTGGGGGTGAATGAGGGGCATCAGCAGGGCTGGAGAACTGTTGCTTGGGAGTGAGGGGCCTGGACCTGTGTTCTGTGAGTGAGGGGGGCAGAGGGAGCTCTGATTTTCCATGATAAAAACCCAAAAATCAAATACCAAAATTTATAGGTATTTAGCATTTATTTTATTACAGTGATTGAAGCACTGGTAGGCTTCCAAATCACTTTAAAACACTGTGGCCAACTGATACCTTCCTACCTACCTACCTATCTATAGTGGCCTTTCATTTTAATCACAGATTCGTGGGTTTTAATCAGAGAATTTACAATTTTTTATTAGGGAAAACCAGGATCCCTGCTTATAACAACTGTGCTCTGGTTGTGAAGGGAAAAAAAGCACTGGCATTTCCACATCAGCTGCAGTTCTTTATACAGACCACAGCACCCAGGCACAACACCATGACTTGCAAACAGGGACTGCCAAAGGCAGCAGCCTATACAACAAGCCTGAGGGCAGGGGTGAAACCCAAGCCTTGACAAAATACAGGGGGGAAACCCAAGCCTTGACAAGCTATGAGATGCTAGCACATGATCCCAATTAGGGTACATGAAGGCAGGGCATCCATGATATCAGGTCTGGGAAACAAAACTGGAAGGAAAGGTTCGTGTCAGGGGTTTGGGCACTGGGGTGATGGACCGATTTTCCCTGGGGAAGCAGAGGCCATGCAAGGAGATTCAAGGCTTGCATAGTTCTCAAAGGGGTCAAGTAGATTTAGAGAGAAACTGCCTCCCCCTTGCTCTGCCCAGGGAAGAAGATGGATGCTAACCCTGATGACCCGGGAAGTCTATTGAGAACATACATATTGGAGGAGCCAGCTCTGACAATGAGCAGACTGGCTGCTGGAGGAGGAGGGGACAGGCAGCATGGTCTAGGCCTGTGACTGTTTTCAAACTGGCAGCCCCTTCCTTATTGGGAGTCCACATTTCTCACCCCCCCCCCCACAAGTAAAATCTTAGTGTAACTATCAGCAGCAGCAGTGCTCAGCCACTGTAATTCATTTGTGGGTGTGCTATGAGAGGGTGAGAGAGTGTGAGACCTTCTTCCTGAAAAACACCCATCTTAATGACTGGGCCCTGGAGTAGAGACTAGAAGCCCTGAGATGTGATGGAAGAAGTGGAGTTCAGCTCCTTGCCTCAGAGGTACAGGCATTCTGCTTTATCCTGGGAGCAGACACCCCTCCCTGCTCGGAGGCCCCTCATCTTCCTACCCCATGACTGCAAGGGAGGCTAGTGCAGCAAGTGACATTGCCAGTGCATGTGATCAGCTGTGCATGCTGGTCCTGGGCTTCCCACCCCACGCTGGCAACCAGATGCTGCTCTCCCATTCATCTCAAGATCCAAATTCAGATTAGTTTCTTTCTAATGGAACAATCCCATGTCTCCCAAGCTGAATTGTACATGATGACTCCCCTCCCTTCCCTTCTTGGTTCCTTGGCACCATTTTCCCTTGTGTCAGCAAGGCCCACAACTCGCCCCACCCACCCAGGTAAGGAAAAAGGGGCACAGACATAGAGCTGCAATTTTTTATCTGCTTTTAATCTAGTCCCTTGTTCAGCATTAAAGGTAAATGACTCTCAGCGATTCCTTCTGTTGTGTGGTATCAAGAGGTCAGAAGCAGGCTCATGAGGATTGGAACATGCCAGAGAATTCAACTCTCCCCAAGCCTCATGGAGCCAGGCAAGAGGAAGGAGTGCTTCAGTTCAGTCCAAACCCCGGCAACTTGGTATGCCTAGTGCAGGGCCATGTAAACACACCCAAGTTAGCTCTCAGTGAGCATAAGGACTAAAAGCAGTTTAGGTGCTCTGATACAGTGGTCTATGCCAACACTGCAATACTGCTTTGGGTCCCTGAGTTAGCTTGGCTATATCTACACTTAACTGACCCAACAAAGAGCAGTGAAACACAAGTCAGCCCAGTAGCTCATTGCTATGGAGAGCAAAGCTGAGTGTGTAAATCCACATTCCTCTCCACAATGGAATTAGCATATGGGAAGGGACCTGCTTTTACTAGAGGGTGTAGAAGCCTAGAGAAAACAGGGAAGCCTTTATAAAGACCCTCTAGGAAGGAACTAAGCAGCGGGTGACTTTAGTGTAAGGGAGAATACATCAGAGATTGTCTGCTAGCTGGGATGTTAAACAAGGGATTTCATTAGAATAATGAAAGCAACATTGCCCAGAGTCATGCTGCCTTTTTCCCTGTTTCACTGTGGATCTAGCTCCCTGCTCTGGCTGTAAAGTAAAAGGAGACACATCCTCCATCATTAACGTGCAGTTTACTCTTCCATTTCAACAAGGAAAGTCAGACTTAGCAGTGATTGATAGACACTGCCCTCCCCACTGTACACAGACGCACGCACACACACACACGCTTTGTCTTCACAGCACCATGCTCAGTCTTTCAGCAGGTGGTCATTCCATGCAGCCATGCTTTGTTTAAGCCAAGCTAAATATTTTCAGATTAAGATGACATATACTGCTCTTCCTTCAGTGACTGTACCTGCCATCAACAACCCCCTTGCATCCATGCTCTAGACTCATAGGACTCAGAGCTCCACTTTGGAGCCATCCACACTTGCCTGCATTTCCTTCCTTCCTCAGACCTAATACTGTGATCAAGCTGCATAAGAAGTTATTTGAAAACTCAGTGCCTGATTCCCAGGTACACTGAGCAATATGTCAGTCAGCAAAGGCACTTCCCATCGCATGACTAGCAAAGCTGTTCTGGTCACAGACCTTCCCCTTCTCATAACCTTTCTCTAGTCTCTTGTCTGCTGACCCTCGCTTGGCCACTTCTGCTTCCACAGGATGCCTTGGAGAGTTTGCAAGGCACAGTGCACAGCTCACTCTGTAGCTGTAGGACCCATAAATAATGCATTGCAACTCTAGAGCCAAAAAGCTGCCAGGCTTTCTTCTGTGTGGGGCTGCAGGTGGAACAGCAAAGGGCTAGCAAGCTGGGCTGCAGGGACCTCCTTTGTTTCTGGGATTTACAGGGGCCTGACTATCCTGAATACCACTTTGACCCTGTCCTCACTGCCATCTGGGTGCACAGTTAGAAGGTTTATCATCTTGCTACCCTCATCTTCTTTGTCCTGCTGTCTCAACCTTACCTGTCAGCATCAGTCACCAGGGCCAGGCGTCCATAGTCCCATGCCACTTTACGCAAGATTGAAAAGACAAACAACAATGCCTGTAACAATATAAAGGAAAAACTGTGAGGCCAGGCCCCTCCTGCAGGTGACACCTTTCCTCAATTGCCATTTGTCTCTACCTGCCCCAGAGAAGGAACAGTGGGGGAGGACAAAGGAAGCAGCAGGAACTGGGGTTGGCTTGCTCCTGTGGAATTTGGCCCTTTTGGCTACAGGACACCACCACAACTCTGGGAAGCCAGGATCCAAGGGGGAGAAATTAAGTAGTGTTTGAGCACCCTGGGGATTCAGGATCCAATGAGGGCATGTCTCAGCCTCGTGGTCAGCCTCACTTCAAGCCATTCCCAACCTCTATGGCTCACCTCACCATTTTCATGCTGCCACATTTGGGTCACTCTTGAGCACGCCATTAACTGGGGCTGCAGGGCACTTGGCACAAGTCCAGGGCCATAAAGGGCCTGAATCCAAGTCTGGTTTGCCCAGGTCTGCCAGGGAAACTGGAGGGCTAAATGGCTGTGGTGCCTATATCCTACCCAGCACCACACAGCAAGCCAGCAGCAAAGCTGAGAATGGAACCTAAGCATCCCGGTGCTAACCAACAGATTGCACTCCTTACCCTGGGATGGGAACTGGGCTTGGATATCCTGAGCCCCATTTGCTCCAAGCCCTTGTCACTAGCCTACTCCCCTCCTCCCAGGCCTAGGAATACATCCCAGGAGCCCCGTCTGTCAGTATCTGTTCCTAGCCCCCAAAGCTATGCTACCTCTATCCTTCCCCTTCCCCCTCCCCCCCCCCAACCCTAGCCCCACGTGAACAATGGTGGCGAGGACTTACAAGGAAGCACATGAAGTCAAGGGCGAGAACGGTAGGCACACCACCAAAGGGCAGCCCCTGCAGCACCGTACTGCGGATGCGGGCACTGTAGCAGTAATCCTGGGTGCCATTGTTACAGGATTTGCAGGTGGCTCCTGCCGAGCCAAAGGTGGCAAACAGGAAGGGAAGCATCTCTACTGCTTCATCGTCTTACCTGGGGAAACAGGAAAAAAGGCCCAGTTAGAAACACACCAGATGGATCCTTCACGGCCTGGTTAACAAGAGGAGGCAGCAGCTGAGGAGCTCTGGAGACCATCCTCCACTCAGCTCCAGTTTCTCCAGAACAGCCGGTGCTTGCACTACACAGCACCCCGTTACTGCCCCCACCCCTGACGGAGGAGGCTAAATGCATGGCTGGTGCTCACATTTGGGAAGTCCTTGCAGAGCCAGGAAGAGCCAGAGGGTTGAAGCAGGAGGTGGGGTATTCCAGCTTCCAGCCCTGCAGGAACTACCATGCAGCTGCTGGACAGAGCAGCTGCAGCATGGCCTGTCCAGTGTTTTCTTGCGATGCAGCCCTGGAAAGCACCTCTCCCCCTCATACTCCCTCTCCTTATAGCAGCTAAAGCAGTTGGATTGCTTCAGTTCCCTTCCCCCTCTGCTGCTTGAGCATTCGGTTACAGGAAAAACCTCTGTTAAGTCATGGCAATGGAAATGAACTCACTTGGATGCCACAGGACTGCTGCTGCTGCGTTACATTCTCCAATTTCCTCTCCCTGCATGCAGACCTTCACATTTATTAGGCTGATTCTCCCCTCTCACTGCTTGCCTTCCCCAGTTCTCTCAGCTCCACTCCCTTCCAGCCCCTCAGCAGGCTGAGTCCATCCCCCTCTGGGTTTTTATTTCCCGCCCCCAGTTTTGATGCTGCCTGTAACTGCGATCGCAGCTGAGTTCAGCTGTAGAAAGACTTTAGGCAAGACATGATGCAGCTATGGAAGAGGCAGAGAAGAGCTTGGGATTCTTAATTTAATTGGCCAAAGACCTCCTGGAAACCTTACAAGGGAGTCTTGGACGGTGCTACAACTAGGAGGAGGAGACAGCATCACTGCTTAGAAACAGACAGACACACATTTCTCCACTGGGATGGAAGCAGCCCTGTGGGAAATGCTTAGTGGCTTAGTTGCAGCAGCAGTGATTAAAACATGAAGCGAGTGTCATTAGGATGGTCTATAAGGGATGAACCATAAGAGATAAACACAGTCTCTTTAGGGAGAGAAGACAAAAACCAGCTGCTGAAGGTGGCAGCAGTTGAGGACAAATCAATGCAGGCAGCAGGTTCCTGCTGTCCCTCTCGCCCCCACCGGCTTCACAAATCAGCACCAGGGCTGGCCACAGGCATGGGCAAACTGGGCAGCCGCCTGGGGCCCAGACAGAAAGGGGGCCCCAAAATGGTAATTTTAAAATTACTATCATCATTATCTCTGGTGAAGGGGGGCCCAATATTAAACTTTGCCCAGGGCTGCCAGGAGTCTAGGTACCGTGCTGACCAACACATGTTCATTCCACTCATGAGGACACTGCTCCAGTTAGTCACTTCTGGGGGGAAACACAGATGCTGTTTTACTGCAGCCAGGAACTCTAAGCCAAATACAGGATAGCAGCAAGTGAAACATGACGCAAGCATCCCTTGGACCGTCCAGAAGGGCTGAACCCTACCAGATAAACACAACTGCCTTGTGGAGCACAGGTAAGTACAACCACAGCCATGAAACTGGTGTTAACACCCTATCTTTTACTAACAGAGAAGGTTAATCTTTAAGGAATGCAAGGAAGCAGGACCCTGCATTCAGGATTCACTAACACAGCTGGGGGCGTGGGGGTCACTCATTGTGGACTATCAAGAAAGAGGGCCCCTACTGAATGGCCAACACTGCTCCTTCTAGCTCAAGCAAGTTAAAAGCAGTACAGCACAGCAGTTGTTGGGAGGCTAGTTAGGTGGAAGGAAGATAGGCTGCTGTCCCAGGAGCTTTTGCTTGCAAAATTAATGCCTCTTGGCTCAGCTGAGACACAGTCACGTGTTTAAGAACTGGCTGAAGGACTGTAAACAAAAGGACCATGACAAACAGTGGTGTAGCAACCCACTGGGGGCATCCAACGGGACCAGTAGAAGGCTGGGGGATTTCTGAACAGCACAGCTAATGAGATGGAGAAGCCAAACAGCACATTCAATTAAATTCCCAGACTATGGGGTAGGGAGGGCCTGCCAGTGCCAGAGGGGTGAGGGGGCTTGGAGGACAGCATGGCTGAGCCATGGCAATACAAGTTGGTGCTATTAGCCCAAGAGCCAACCAAGCTTTTTCACCCCGGAAAAATGAACGAGCAGATACTCAGTGACAAGGGAGAGAGCTGGGAAATGCAACAGGAGGGAGGAGGGATAAGGAAAGTGGGCAGCAAATTACACAGGGGCCTGCACCTGAACAGCACAACAAAATTACCCAAGGGCCCATGGGACTGTTTACACAAAAGCCTGCTCCAGAGGCTCTGCTGGATGCAGAGCTTGCCAAACCTGGCCTAGGACACTGCCATCAGCCCTGAGCAAGGTGCTGACAACAGGAGATGGACAACCCAGGGGGTACAGGGAGTTTGTGCCCACATCCATGGGTGTGTGTGGGGCTGGGGAGCTTTCAGTGGGTTCTGGAATGGGACCTTAGAGAGCAACTAAAGGGGAAACTGGGATCAATCTGCTCGAAATGCGGAGCTCTGGACGCAGAGAGGAACAACAGGGAGACAGGGATCACCAAGAAATGATGGAGTGAGATGACAGGGAGAGAGGCTGGGAATCAGGAATGGGTTTTCTGATGAAGATCCAGGAAGGCAGGGGACAAGGAAAACCCAGGGGAAGGGCTGGGACCTCAATACAGTGGACTCTTAAAACTAGATGGGATGGAGGACCAGAAAAAAATGCTGTCAGGAATAAGTGAGCAGGCCTCCCTCAACCCCTCAGAGGGACAGCAATTGGCAGAGATTAGCCATTTAACCCAACCCCAAATCAAAAGACTAGTCTCTTTCCTTCCCCACACAAAACATTACCACAGCCAACAGTAACTCATCATATGGAAAGGGCCAGAGGGGATCCAGCTGGATGGAATGGGCCGGGGGGGATCCAGCTCCACTCTAGAGAAAGGTCTCTCCCAGGTACAGCTGGGGCAAAGCGAAGGCAGGGAACAGTGTTTGGGGAAAGCTTGCCATGCCTGTCTGCTGTAGCTGGTCTGTGGATCAGAACTGACAATGCAGCTAGTCCAGGGGTGGGCAATTATTTCGGGTGGAGGGCCACTTACTGAGTTTTGGCAAGCCATCGAGGGCCGCATAACAGGCCACCAGGGGCAGATAAATATTAATTTTCTAAAATTTTTAGGGGCCCTGAGGGCCAGATAGAATGGTCTGGCAGGCCACATCTGGTCCATGGGCCACATTTTGCCCACCCCGAGCTAGTCCATCTTTGGTCACAGATGCGGATGGGAGCTGTGCCTGGTCAGAAGAGAGCAGAAAAAGGCAAAGGTGGTATGTGCGCATGTGCGTGAATTCATCCCATGCCTAACAGCAGGGGATCACGAGGAGCTGTAGAGGCCACACATCCTGCAGACATGGTGCTAAGTTTCAGAAAGGAGACAAAGGATGCATCCACATTGGCTATGTCTGAGAAACAAGTTCTGCCTACCTGATCCACCAGCCTTGATAATGGTGCAGCACCAATACCTGAAAAGCACTTGGCCCACTTAGCAGAGCACAACAGAGGCTGGGAGCGACTGATCTGCATACATACACCAACAGATCAAGAACCATTTACACCGTTGGACAAGGTTGGCATATGACCACGTGACAACAAACTGGCCAGTAATACGCCCAAACAGGAAAATAGCAGGAAGTTTCTCATTACCAATGCAATACAGCTCTGAAGCAGTCTTCCCAGGATGGTTGTTCCCCCATTCCCCCTAACTAATTCTATGATGGAGCTCGATCAGTTGACGAACAGGATGCTTGGACATGGCTGCCCGACATAGCAGGGGATGGGGCTTTTGATCTAGAAAGTTTCTCTCAAGCCTGTGTTTCTTTATAGCTCAGTGCTGACTGGGCACATCAAGAGTTTCCCCCGAGACTCACCCCCCACCTCTCCACGTACCACGTGCAGCTGCACACTAATTAGCCTCTCTTAACTCAGCCAGGGGAGCAGGACTGAATGGCTGCTATTTTAGCTGATTAGCTACAGCCTGGACAACAAAAGGCCATGATAGCAGGAAGGATCAGGAGCCAGAGGGTTTAGCTCAGTGCACCAGGCAGCCAGGTGTGCCCAAGGATAGAGGCCAAGGACTCCCAGGCATGTTACCTGTGCAGCCCAGCCTACTGCAGGCCCACTCCAGGTATCCAAGCAGGGCTTCCCAAAGCTGGGCTCTGCACCTCCAGCTGCTAGCGACTGACAGGGCAGTTGCAAAGGTGCACTGGTAGTCAGGCTAAAAAGCAATTAAGAAACATACTGGCAGATCCACTGGCCGACAGGTCCGCCAAACAATCCTACATGGCTCCCAGGAAAAGGAGGTGCAGAGTCTAGCTTGAATCCCTAATAATATCAGGTCATGATGATGTTCCTATCTAATTCTACAGGGAAATGAACTGGTGTGGGCAGGGGACTGAACCCTGCAAGCCAGACAGGCTCCAAAAGCTGGAGAAATCTTGCAGTGAGATATGGAGGCTTTCACTTTTGGGGCACCTGTTCCATTGTGGCCCCCACATCATAAATGACCAATAAAAGCAAAAGAACTCTTCCACAGCACCTGCACGAGATGAGTTAGAACAGGGGTGGCAACTCATTCGGTCATTTGGGGCCATGTCATGTTGTGTGTGGGGGCAGAAACTGAGCAGTAGAACAAGCCATGGCAACATTAATTGCAGAGTGGATCTGATTTAAATCATAGTTTCACAGTTGGTAGGGTCAGAAGGGACCTAAGCAGATCATCTAGTCCAACCCCCTGCCATGGGCAGGAAAGGATGCTGGGGTCAAATGACCCTGGCTAGGTGACGGTCTAGCCTCCTTTTGAGACCCCCCAGGGTAAGGGCAAGCACCACTTCCCTTGGAAGTTGGTTCTAGCTCCTAGCCACCCTGACAGTGAAGTAGTGCCTCCTGATGTCTAGTCTGAATCTACTCTCAGTCAACTTATGGCCGTTGTTCCTTGTTACCCCCAGTAGTGCTCGGGGGAACAGGGACTCTCCCAATGCCTGCTGGTTCCCCTTGGCAAGTTTATAGGCGGCCACCAGATCCCATCTCAGCCTTCTTTTGTGGAGGCTGGACAGGTTCAGGTCCCATAGCCTCTCCTCATAGGGCCTGCCTGGCTGCCCCCTAATCATGTGAGTGGCCCTCCTCTGGACCCTCTCAATGCTGTCCACATCCCTCCTGAAGTGCGGTGCCCAGAACTGGATGCAGTACTCCAACTGCAGCCTGACCAATGTCGCATAGAGGAGGAGGATCACCTCCTTGGAACTGCTCGTGATGCATCTATGGATGCATGACAAGGTGCGGTTAGCCTTCCTGA